GAACTGCAGCAGAAGCCAGCGAGCGCTATTATCCGGTGAAACAAGATTGGCCCCAGGCCTCGTGTAAGGGCTGCCGTGCCTCCTACCGGGCCTTCTAGAAGGGGCTTGGGTCCTGGCCCCTGGAGCCGGCCGTCACGTGAGACCCAAAAGAATCACGAGCGTGGCACGGCTCCGCTACCATGCAAAACAATCTTTTCACAAGCTTTCCAGGGCTGCGGTTGGATAGTGCGAATGATCCACCGGCATGGGTATACTGCTGACAATCAATCAACTGTCAGGTGGGCAGCCAGAGGCCACAGGCACAGGAAGAAGCCTGCTCAACTGGTCCAGTTTATAGCTTTCCAGCAATGCCTGGCCTGAAACGTGTTTGAAAGTAGTGCAAAGGCGTACTCTTCACGAACTCAGACAGGTGGAAGAAGTGGTGTTGGGCCTCTCAAATTCATCAGGAAACACCGCCATCCCTCCGCGACACAGTTCCATCACGGTGGATTGCGCGTTTTTCTGCCAAGCTGCTATATAAGCCAGCCGGAGATTTCTGTGTCTCCAGACAGCACTTACCTGCACGGTCAAAACCGGAAGCGTTGAGGAGGAAGGGGGAGGAAGACGACAGGAGCGGCAGGGAAGAACGAGGACATGTAGAGAAGGGCAGCAGAAAGAAAGGGGAGCGCAGGGGATGGGAGGTCCTCTCCCGTCTCATCCTCGGGTGGAAGGAGCTCACCAGCAAGAAGGTTCAACAGCCTGAGACAAACCAAAAAGTCATGACCGTGCTGACCCGCTAGCCGCTGCTCTGCTCAGTTCGGAGCGTTGACTTGCCAGCACCATTTCGACCGACCACTCCGATGCGACTGCCCATGGTAAGCCGGACGGTTACGCCCTTCAACCTGACAGGCAGACCATGGCAGAAGCATGCAACAACTGCCTTCCTTCCTTGATTTTAAGACATAGGCATCCGATCAAAGACCGCACCCCTCAAGGGGATGTCCGGGAATTCCGGGGAGGGCACGGACTGTGTGAGGCCGCCGTTTTGCCGGCCACCCCGTCCAGAGTCCAAAATAGAATACGCACAGCTTAACGCACCTTCGAACTTGCAGTTGCCAGCACTCTGGGACTCTATAGGGACTCTAGAGCGACTAGTCCTGAGCCTCCTTCCGCTTCCCGCAAATAGCAACCATGTTCTGTCTCATCCATGACTATAATTCAGGCCGCGCTGCACTAAGGGGGCATCCTCGAAGTACTTGAAGTTCAGGTTGGTGACCTGCAGCTTGTTGACATCATTGCGTTGCGTGGCAGCGCAACTGGGCTGGAGGCTGTTGCCACCGGCTTGCTGGCCGTACCGAGTCCCTCGATCTTTCCTCCAAGACTGAGTTGGAGAGCTGAAGAGTTGTGCCGTCATCCCCCAACAGGTTGCGTTATGAGATTGCAGCCCCGTACTCGCTCACTTTGCCCCTCATTCTCTCGCCCCTGCCTGGCATGGGAAATCTCATGCCGTCCTCATCTCCATCCGCGGGTAAAACCCCCAATTGCTTGCCTTCCACTGGCCTGTGGTCCGGCATGGCAATGGAACCATGAGTGTTACGCGCACCTCTTCCCAAAAATTGCTGGCTGGAGCACTTCTCTTGATCATCCTGCGTCTTCCCTTCGTGACCTCTGACTGTCAATACCTGGGCCAAGAGTTCATGCCATTCACAGCCCCGCAACGGAGATCACGCTTTGATTTGCTCGGGCCCTGGCACTTTTGGCCCCCTCGGCATCCAGCTTTGTCTTTGCCCTCGGCTCGCAGCCGCTCGGCAACTCGGTTCCCATACCCCAAAGCTTTTCGCGCCTGAAGGCATCGAAGTTTCCCTCGTAGTACACCAATTTGCCCTCCTTTGTGAAGTGCACGATGTCCTTGTCGGGCGCGTTTTGAACATCGAGGCGCCACACTCACACTCCAGGTCTTCTTGCTGCCCGGACTCCGTGCAGGCATGGTTCAGGAAGCCGGCATCGTGTGAGATGATCATGGCGGTTATCCTCTTGCCCTGCCGCTCAGACAAGACCAATGACAGGCGGTGTAATGCGAAACTCCCCGCCGCTGCCTGTGTCACCAGGTAGTTTTGGAGCCACCGGACGGCCTGAACATGCAAAGGCCATTTTGAGATGCAAGGGTGCTGGATAAATCAATGCGGTTAAGCGACGACGGAATCTAAGTGGTTTGTCGGCTCGTCCAGCAAAAACACGTCCGCACCCTGGGCAACAGCACACGCCAGGGCGAGCCGCATCTTCCAGCCTGACGCGCTCGAGCAAGAAAGGCCGTTTTTACGAAACGTAAGGGTGGATTCCATCATCGAGTACGGACACAGGGAGATGAAGTTCGGGCAGCGACAGACGAGGTGAGCTTGCTCGTGCTTAGTTCAACCAAGGCTATGCACCACATCTTGGCCAAGAAGTCAGGTCTTGTCATTGCTCAGGATTCCTGATTCCTGGCCGTTCTGCGACCGAAAGCCACATGATGACACGCAGCTGCTACGCAGCTTCGGGTGAGACTTTTGATTTGAGCATGACTCGCATGATGCCCAGTAGTTTTGGATACGGCATGATGCCCGGTTGCTTTGGAAACGGGCAGATTACTTTCCAAGACATCCTTTTTGCATACATGAACCGCTTTCCGCCTGCATTCAATTGCTTCCGGGATCGCGTCTGTCAGCCCTTCATCAACGGCTAGGCTGCACATCAGTGCTGAACTGAAACCGATCCATGTCATGCAGTCGTTCAGACGCAGCCTCCACTCAACTCGCCAACCTGCTTGCCTGAGCTCAGTCAATGACATGTGCGACGGCACGCTTCGCGACCATTGCCAAGTTGCTGAACATATCCGAGTCGAAGCCCACATCGTGAAGGTACTTGTCTGTGGAGCGACTGTCAATTCCTTCGCATTTCCTGGAAATGGAGAGCGCTCAAAGGCCCCTGACTCCCATCGAGTGCAGCCAAGGCTCAGCTTCACAAACTCACCTCAATTTCGCTAGCATTTGCAGGCAAAGGCAAACATGGCTTGTCCTTGGTCCTTGGACTGGTTACGACAAGCTGCTGCACGAAGTTCTTCTGTCTATGTTGTCCAATATCCCCTGGAAGGCAAGACTGTAACACTTCAAAAGGCACATTGAACTAGCCCACTCCGCAGTCCGATCTTATCTCTGATTGTCTGCAGCGATCTCCTCGTGCTCCAAGTGGTAGCACTTGAGCTTCTCCATGCCAGGCAAGTCGCCAACAGCAACCCTGAGTCTTGCTGCGATTCTTTGTCAGTAACGTTTCAAGACAGCGGTTGCAACAGAGTCCAGCTATCCTTGCCCGCCCCGCCGGCCTTGACATCAAGGTTGTCTTACCAGCACCATTCTGTCCAACGATGCCTGAGTCTGGATGAAGGCTATGAATTATGACAGGACCTCTTCCACTTCGAATTGGTCAGGCTAATAGCACGATGCAATTAAGCTCAGGATCTTGATCTTCCACGCTAGGAGAAACTAAGTGGGATTCCATACCGGCGGCCACGTCGAAGTTCAAAAAGCGTGTTGCTCAGCAACGGCTTGACCTGAGCAGTGCGAGAGCCACCCGCATTGAGCAAAACACACTGGAGCCAGAGTTGCACTAATTCACGGTCGAGGTACGCTGCCCCCGTACATCAGGATCAAGTTCCTGGGCACAGAGCGGGTAGCTTGGCCACAGAATGTCGTAATGCTAATCAAATCGAGGCGATGGGATGGACATGAACAAGTGTGTGTCAAGAGCACTTCCAAACTACCAGGGACCCCTAGAATCCACAGTGAAGCATACCTATACGTTCTGGGGCTGTCACGGAATGCAACAAACAAGGTCTTCATCTGACTTCGAAGTAGCGGCAACCTGCACCAAAGCAGATCCGTTGAAAGCAACAGCCTCACTTTTAGCGTCTGAAACATTCCTGGATTCGCGGGTGTCTGACCTCTTTGGCCGCATCCTTCTCTGGAAAAATCCTATCCTGAGTCATCGAGGCATTGAGCTTCAAGGAAGCAGGTCGAGGTTTTTTCCGAGGCCTGAGTCCGAAACTAATAAGTCCTTGAGAAAGGCATCGATGCCCCCCACACCGGCGGCCTCCAAATGAGGCCTCAACTACTACGTCCTGCTACCTAGCACGACACTCATGTCTCACCAGAAGCATTGACATAAGATCCGCACGCCACTGATTGCTCTAACTCTTCAGCCGCCTCCGCTCGCTTGGAGGCATCCTGCAGGCACCGCGGAACAATTCTAAATGCCGCGGCCTATCGCAACAAGCAACCGGACTAGATCGAGGCAAAAGTTTAGTTTAAGGCAGCTCCTGAAGCAGGTCGACGGCAGAAGCCGTCAGGTATTCCAAAACCTCCCAGGAGCATGACGAAGCACCCGGAACTGCTGCCTAGGCCTCTGCCATTTAGCAATTTAGCATGCGCTTGAGAACAGATCTGCGATTTCTATCCTTACAGGTCCTGGTCTAATCATGCAGGGGGATAGGCGATCTTTGGAATTCTGAGGCCAACGACACCATGACGGCAAGGTCATGAAGCTGAACAGATTCAATGTTGCTTTCAACAGGCAACCGCTGGCCTGCCTCTACAGTCTTGCATATCTGCAAGACGCACTGGTTGGCGCAGCATTAAACCACGGAGCGGTTGCGATGGTTCTGGCTGCGGTTCAGCAACCATTCTCCGGCAGGTGGCCGCGAGCAGAGGGTTCTGAAGTAGATGGCTTTTTCGGCAGTCCACCGTGTTCACGTACCGCGGCGACTACGCTGCTGTTTCGCTGTGGTCTGTCGGTGCACAACACCTGCTTGCATCCAGAAATCACAGCCTGATGAAGACTGTGGCCTTCAGCAGGATTACTCATCGCCGAAGCCTCCGGCTTGGTCCGAGTCGGACGATTCATCTTAGAGCTTCTCGGCTGCTCTGTTCGAGCCACGTGGGCGACAGACTCCAAGGGCAACCCGACTCCAGGCCGTCTGCACGGAAGCAAAAACTGCATGTGTCCTGAGCCGTGTCCAACGACGAAGCACCATCTTCTGCTCATTTTCTTGTGTTTAAAGGTTGAACCACGACAAAGACAGCGAACCAGGCCTACAACCATCGGTGGGCTCCTGAAAATACTTTTTGAAAGCATGAGACGGCTGCGGTGGAGCGCGCTATGATCCGCTTAAGCTTTAGACCGGATCGACCCAAATCTATGCCGCCATGCCCGTGCCGACCTCCTGCTCGACCCCTTCTGCCAAAGATGCCTTAGCCAGGCTCGCAGACAAGAACTTCCAACAGCGCACAGGAACAGGCCTGCAACAGCTGCAACCGCCAAGCTCTTTTCACTTCGGCGCGCTTTGTCGCAGACTGTATTTCCGCACTACGCTCTGTCGGCTCGAAGGGCTGAGATGGCTCAGAGGGCACAGTCGGGCTTGTCAGCATAGTTGCCAATCGTCTGGCTCACCCACCTCTGCTTGAACTGACAACCTTCTTCCGGGGATTTCCGTGCATGAGGCAGCCGAGCCACTCGTTTGCGAACTTGCCCGTGGGATCCAATTTCCGTGCAAAGGCACGAAATTCTGCAAGCACAGGGCCATAGAGCGATTCCAGACCTGGAACCAGTGAACTAGGTCTGGCCTGTCTGGTCTGCCGTTGGGCGCATCACAAAACGACAGCCCACAGACGCACAACACCTGAAGCCCTCGAGGCCCGAACGACGGCTGCTTTACTGACTTGTTGTGGTGGGATCCCCTTCCCTTGCTGCCCTTGCTCTTAGATAGGCTGCTCGCTACAAAGCAACAGGAAACTCACGCTTTCTCTTTCTCCCTCCAGCGCAGGCTTTTGGAGCAACAACTGTGTGTCCCACGCTGGCGTGACATCGCGAAGAGCTTGCCCCAGTGCGGGCGTGCTTGGAAAGGTTCAAGCGCCTCCTCCACGGCCGGCAATACCAGTGACATGACCTGTGTGAAGGTGTAGCGTCCAAGACTGTGAAACATCAATTGCCGCTGCTGGTGCTGACTTTGGTACAGTCGACGGCCTCGTGCTGCCTCATGCGCCACGTGAAATGAAATCCAACCTTGTCGAATGGTGCAGTCAGCAAGCAGTGTGGATGACGAGCAGACGTGCAAGTTGCATGGCAGCTCCTTGCATCAAAGTCGGCTTCCTGTTACAGCTCGTGTTGCGATTCTGCGCATCCTTTCCGCAGTCAGGCCACTAAGACCCACCTGCATGTCATTGAGACCCAATTAGCCTGTCTTACTTATCTCCAGTTGGACCAGTCTTTGACACCTGGATCACGACCGCACAGAACTCCCCCCACTGAGGATTGCAACTCGGTTGCACAGCCGGGCCTTCGGGCCCGCGCAGGCCCACAGAGACACAGAGAGACACAGAGAAAGAGAGAGGAGTGAGTCAAAGGTAGCATGTACTCACCCCGTGCCTCCCCTTGCAGTGTCTAAACACCTAAACTGTCTAAACCATAAGGCGAAGGGAATGTGACCCTCTTCCACTCATTCACTCACTCATCACTTACTCGCACTCCCCGCCCCTCTCACTGCCACTCCCATTCTCACTTGTGTTTGTTTGTGTAGGGAGACAAGCGAACCCACATAGTTGATTTTGTCGACGGTTGTGCCAAGAGCCAACCCTCAAGCAGCAGTGGCAAGACAAAACCTCAGTCCTGAGATGTACATGTAATGCTCTACATGTGCCAACACGAAGAAGACGGGTCTACATCGGAATCTGCAGTTTGAACTTGGCATATGCAAGGCTCCAAACGACTTCGAGACAGGTCCAAGGAGCGCTGCCGGCCTCCCCCACGAGGCCTTTGGAATGCGGGCTCAAGAGCAACTCATCCGCCGCCACTGCGCGGATCTCGGAAACCAGCAAAAACGGTTGAAAAACACCTTGGCGCAGATCTGCTTCGCAGAAAAGTGGCAAGAAAGAAAAGGAAAAGCCCTGAAGGTAACGTATAGAAGAGCATAATATTGCATAGTAGCTTCAGCTACAACGCAAAATGCAACTAGCCGTGCCGCTCGAAATCTCTGCCAGGGCTAAGAGTGCTTGCGCAGAATCTCTCCGAGCGACGAAGTATTCCTTACTTGCGAAGACAATCACAATCGGGAAGCAGGCTACACAGAAGCGCGTTCAACCAGTCAAGCATCCGATTGCAACTCCTCTCCAACATTAGGTGCATGGTCGGCCTTAAAATGTGGAAGCCGCTGATGCCACGGGCCAGGGTGACCCTGCTCGGTACACACCGTCGCATCCATTCCCATCCTGAGTCCCAGGGCCATGGCCATGTCTCTCACATCCACAGAACCGGTGGCGGCTGGTGTAACTGAGCGCTCACCGTCTTGGATACGCCGAGGATCACGGGGTGCTGCTGCTCTTGGCACTCCGTACACTTGCTAAGCGGGGACGTGCCCTCGCGAAGACAGCTCTGCAGAGGCCCCTCTTTGTGATCGGTCCCATCCATCCGGTCCTTTGCCCAAACTTTGAACCTCAAGGAACCGGTCACAAGAAACACGTGAAAACCGTCCTCGGCACAGCAGCCGACGCCAGTCGAAGGTATAGATTTCGGGAGGAGGCTGTTTGTTTGTTTGTTTGCCCTACCGCGAGCAATAAAAAGCAGCCCAAACACAAGAATTACAGAAATACCCTTCCCAGGACAGGTCTAGGAACAACGCTACGCTTCAGATGCCAAAATAAGCTACTCAACGAAATTTGAACAGCAGAGAGAGAGCATAAGGAGGCAAGGGTTGTTACACTTGCCGCTGTTTGGACTTGTTGACATGACCTTGATCGACACAACATCCCAAGTGCAAGCTAGGTTGTTGACTCGGAGTGTCCCGCTGTTTGACCACATACTTGCAGGCTGGGCACTTCATAGCCGGTCCCGACGGAAGCCACGTGGTCCATATGCTGACAGAGTACGCAGCACCGAGAACTGCATCCAAGTGCGCCTGCTGCGAAAGCCCAACTAATCACACCGTCTTCTGCACTGCGAGCAATTTTGAGACACTTGCACTCGTCTCAACTCAGACTTCGCCACCCCATTCTGGCCCACTTGCGTCTGGCCCTTCCATTATCTGGAGTTACAAGTAACTCGAGTCACCAAGTACAACGGAAAGCCGGAAGAATGTACAAGTAGATAGCAATGTACTACGGCGGAATGAAGTACCGAGGGCCACAGGAAGCCTGCGAAGAAATCGATCGTAGCTGCAGCCCTTCGAAGCATCGCTGTCGGATGAAAAATGTCGGCTGCAAGCGCAATGATACCTGCGTGACTATGCCTTGGGCGGCCGGTGTCGCTGCCTACCTGCCTTGCACAAGACCACTGGATGCGACCAGAAGACCGAGGCACCCCAGCCCAACCACGGCAAGCCGAAGCCTATGTCTGCAAAGTCGACTGCAGAGTTGCGCAATGTCCGCATGGCCGAGTGGCTCGTGAACATCCCTGATCTCCACGAGCTGCCCTGATGCCAGCACGATGTGCAGACCGGAAACGACCTCGGAAAGCGGGCTCCGGGGATTGCAAGGAGGGTATATGTAAGCAGGTACACCTCATTCAATCCGAAGCTCCGATGCAAGGTTGCCGTTGTCTTGCCCTGAGCCATGGCTTGCAGTTGCAACTGCCCCACAGACCTTGCATCGGGAGACCCTATCTCGACAATGCCAAGATGCATCAGCTTGCAAGCAAGAAGCAGAAATATGTGGCAGCGATGCCATATTGTGCAAGGCAAGGCCCCGCTCATGGAGTAAAGGGCACAGATCACCGTAAGTGACACCAGCTTGAACCGTCACACCTCAAGCACCGCCCACCACCGAAGGCCGCAAATCGGGAAGCATGGATCCAGCATAGATCCAGCGTCATCTGTGATTCGACTAAGCCGCAATGATTTGGTTCGTCAATGTGGATGACTTTCATCTTGCTACACGAGATGAGGTTCGGCGAGTCTGCAATCGGGTTGAAGCTGTGACGCGATCCCACAGCACCTTGGCTCCATAGCTCAACACTTCGACGCTGGCAGTGCAGGGCCATGATTCGCCAAGTCTCGGATTTTATCTGCCTGCCTCACGATTGCTTGCACCTGCCGGCACGCAAAGCCTCAATGTCTGCTGTGCAGAGCACCACCCAGAGCACCACCCAGAGCACCACTGCACCCGGTCCTCGCCCACGGTGGTGGGCTGATGCAGTGTGTGCGCGCTGTACTGCAGGTTGCCACTCCAGTTCGTCAGTCCCAGGGCCATGGCTGCAGAGCGCTGCACTCAGGTTTCTGTCTGCGGCTTCCATGCTCAGACGATCGGACCCACATGCAAATCCACATCTATGCACCCGTTGCCTGATCGCGAGTGGTCATGTGCACGGACACGAAACTGGATCAAACACCGAAAGGTTAGGAACTGTGCTCTTGCTCGTCAGCTGCAGGTTGCGGTATCTCGTGGACGTTGTGCTCATGCTGACAACTCTCCTGGAGACATTTGCTGCGATGATTCTGGTCTATTTGTGGACATGGGACTGCCTTCTGTCAACCAAGAAAGCCTTCTCCCGAAAGCGTTGCAAAGCGATCTTGCCTGGAGGTGGTAGGGGAGCGTTTGGTGGCACGAAATCGCCAGGGCTTGTCTTGCTCCGAAACCGCGCGAGTTTTGCTCGCGCCAAACGGCGCTTCGCGCGTGATGCTGCGAGGATTCGCGTTTGGAATTGACAACCGTCTCGGTAGATGCGGCGTGTCCATGTTGTTGGTAAGCGGGACCCACTACGATTTCCAATCAACCAGCCGCATGTTAGTCTCGGAATGACAACCCTCTCGTTGGATGCGTGCGCGTGTGATATTTGTCTTGACGCTTTTCGGCCCTAGCCCCTATCCACCGGCACCGGGGGACAAGAATGTGCAGAAAGGACATGTTCAAATTGCAGTCCCCGTCGATTTGACCTCGAAATGCCTGAAACCCGGCCAATACCTTCGGGAAATGATGTTGGACATGTCTCCGAATCGCGCCAGCTCATGGAGGAAGGGTGCCGTGCTCCTGAATCCGCGAAATCGCGTTGCGCGTGTGCTTCGTGTTCGTGTCACAGAAGCCCGGCAGTAAATGGGTGGAAGCATTTGGTCGCGCCGGTCGCGCCAGCTCGTGCTGCACACGTGGTGCCGCGACGGGTGTTCGAAATCGACAACCCTCTCGGTGCTCTCAGGTGGAGATGGATGAAGGAGCGAACGGATGCAAAGATGATGGAAAGAAGGCAGGAAGGAAGGCAGGAAGGAAGGAAGGAAGGAAGGATACATGGATGGATTCGGTGATCGGTAATGCTCGATGAAACCTCGCCTTCTGGACGTATGTAGGGCTTCTCAGGCGTGACTCGAGGGAAGCTGCACGAACATAAGAAGTGCATCACAAGATCCACCGCAAACACGATTAAAGCACATGAAAGCACTTTGACTCTCGAAGATGACTGCTCTGGCAGGCAACGAAGTCTTCTCCAACACACGGTGGCAATCATGCGTATAAGCTTAGGATAATGTGATTAACCCTTACACTTAATAGATTGGGAAGACAAGTCTGGGAACCCGGCGAAGTGGGCCTGAACAAGTGCTTCCCTTTTGTGGGCCTCACAGTGCGGGAACAGATTAGAATGAGAAGACGCCGCCAGAGCCAGACTGGCTGAGCACCACAACGCCGTAGGGCCACGGCAGGCACGGCCATGACCAAAAGCTCTTTTCGCCCGAGCTGTGCAAGCAGTGTGATCTCTGTGGTCAGGGGTCTTCAAGTTTTCATGGTTTCTGCTCTTTCGGTGCTACAGCGACGGGACCAACACTTGAGAGGCTTGTTGCTGGGGGGGTCGTGGCGCAACTCCTGAGCCAACGATAGTCACGAGCACTCAGCTGCAGAAGATTAAGATGGCAGCTCAAGCATCATGTCATCCTCGTGCGCACACAGAACATAGCGGCACAGGACAGGATACAATTCAGTTTATCGCAGTTGCCGGCTGGCATCCTCTTGCCTGCTCCGCTTGGTCCGAACGGGCCGAGAGAAGTGTGCAGGCTCGTGGACTTTGGCTTGCCGCCCGAATTAAGCACCAAGCTAGCCTCACATCTCGCCCTCACAAACTAAATCGACAATCCTCCATCCAACTCTGACTTCACGCTCCAAGACACCAGGACTGCAGCAGGGTTCAAGCTACCGCCGAACAGAAGGCAGGCATCATTGAGGTGTGCAGCTGAGCGTGTCCTGAATTGCACCGACTAGATGCAAGGCAGACCCACAGCAGATATGCCAGTAATGCAAGTATCGGCATGTAAGAGAATATTCGGGCTGATATTGGGTGGAATCAGTGGAGGATCCCTTCGGAAGGGGCGAAGGGAAGGAAGAAGGCGCAATCCGTCACGTGCATTTTGCCAGTTTTATTCCTAGTCCTCCTTACTTGACCTGGATGTGTTGGGCTTTGTGCATTCAATATCCGAAAGTTTCGCATCCTACACTTGCACCCTGAACCGTCCATGAAGCTTGGGTTGCATGCTACGCTACTGGTTCAGGCTTGATTTTCCAAGGTGAGCACCTGTTCCTGCTGGTGGTCGACATTTTTGCTTTTATGGCTGCCCCGACCACCTATCATATCCGAAGAGCAGTAGCTGGACCGGTGCGTTGAATGCTGGTCGCATGCGTTCGACACCCTCTATGTTGGAATGATGGAATGTCTCCTGCACTATGTCACTATGCACCTCGCAACCCTGCAATGACCAGCCGAGAAAAGAACAGATTCGCTTGGAGAAGCGCATTAGCGGCTAGCGTCCTGGGGCTTCCCACGAAGCAGGTCACAGCAGGCCTTCACGCTCTGCTCCAACCTTCGGACCTTGGCGTGTTTTGCAGCCCCTGCGCTGGTGGCGGCTGCGAGCTTTGTTTAGACCAATGCAGGCACGGGCTCATCTCCAGCAATTTTGGCAATTTCTTCAGATTGTCTGCGCTCCGCATCTTGCAGCTCAGACTTCAGCTGTGTAATCCTTTGCTGTCTCCAACATAGAACGACGTGAAGAAAAACCACCCTTCCCGGCACGTAATTCCCACGTCCGCGTGCAATGCCGGACCGGAGCTTGTCGTGCTCTACTTCCAGCCGTGCGGACGCTGACCCTGTACTACGCACATCACCCCCATCCCACACAAGCCCAGATGATCCAAGGGTCTCCGCATCCTGATTCATGTAGAAAGTTTCTGAGTAATCTGAACGATAGCCTCGGCCAAAACACGGCCAGAGGACCATTCATTATAAGGAACGACAACGCAAGACCACCGAGACAGGCCACATACCCACAGATACCTGTGCCGCGAGTCGAGATCATCGACATTGATCCTTGGACGACTCGGCTGTCAGGCACTTCTGCTTCCATCGGTAATATCGAGTGTAATACCGGTAGCTTGACAATCGGATGCCTCCGTGGGTAGAGCTGTAGGCTATGGCGGCTACGGCTTCAGCTTCCCTGACCTCTGACAAAACGGCCTGTCCATGCGAACCTTGCAAGGCCTCTGTTTCGGACATGGGAAATGGTGCAAACGGGAGTCAGCAACGCAGCCTGGCAAATAAGGAGGACGGCGCACAGGCAGAGACCGCCTGAATATACACTCCACAACTCGAAGATGGCCTCGGCACACTGGCTGGCTTGAACGATGGCGTGCTGCACCACTCCCGGCGACACCCTTCCGAAGCAATCCTTGAGAGCTCGGCAGACGCCAGAAAGATCACAACGAAAGGCAGCGCAAAGAGGCCTGGGAAACTAACACTCAAACTGAGCGTCAAAGTGAGAGTCGCTCAATCTCGTTAAGCTTTCTCAGCCTCATAGGCATGTGCAATCATGTGTAACCACTCTAACGCTCTGCAAGGTTAGGCATGTCACGCCTTCAGAGGTTTAGGAAGGGGACACTCCTGTCCCTGAGTGTGTGTCGCGGAAGGTTTCGCACCAAGTTTGGGAAATCTCGCGGCTTCTGCACGTTATCTCACGTGCCTGGATCCGCTTGCAATCCAAGATTGAGGAGTCTGGCACATCACATGAAGCATTGTGGAGCTCAGGCTCGCGCAAGTCTTCCACTTCGATCCCTCGAGAGACATTCCAGCCAGCCATGTTCGTGGCACCGATGGTCTCAATGCAAAGCGCACGCAAAGCCTGCCATGTTGCTGATTCGCAGGATCTCGTTCCAAGCTACGCGACTGCCTTACGATTCAAGACAGATGCTAGTTAGTCTGCTCGCGTCCAGTCTAGCCGAGCCTTGTCAAGCTTAGTCTAGTTTCCTGACTCTTGCCTTGCCGCACGTGGCAAGGATGCACCTACTTCTTGCACTCACGAACTTGAACCCCGATACATCCGCCTCTTGCTACAAGGCACGGTCTGATCCTCGCCGTTTCGGCAGATGCGCTCACTATCCAATCTGCTGGGTGCACCGCAGCCAACTCCAATTTGAATCAGCTGGCCCGAGGCCAGCCGAATCTTTCATGGCTTCGGCAGGTCTAGGCACCCTCAGAGCGCCGTCACTACACACTCCCTCAGCCCGGCCTGGCACGGCACTGCTGAAGACCTAAGCGTGCCAAAGGCTCCTTGGAACAGGGAGTCCATCGACTGCATTCAACAACAAACTGGAAAAGGCAGGCAGTCCTGCAGCTCGTAAAACTTGGTGTACATACCAATGGTCAAGTTCCTCGCAAACTGCACTTGAAAATTCTGTACCCACCCCTCTCAGACCTATGTCGGACTGCAGCATTCACCGGAGTCAAACTGACCCTGGCCTACGCAGCTTTGCAATCACGGCTCAGCAGCACCAAGGAAAAAATTGAGGTAGCGAAGAGCATTATCACAGTCGTCACGATCAGCAAAAGGTGGCTTCCGTCACCGGTGTACATCTCGATTCCGAAATCCAGAGTCTGTTGGTGACCGATATCGAGGCCTGATATACTTTCTGCTCCATCGCTGTCTGTGAGGAAGAGAGCTTGGAACAGATTGAGCAACACCTTGCAACGACTTGGAACAGAAACTTCACTGTGCGAGCTGTTCCCGAAGTTACAGCCGGCAGGCATACCCCGGACTCCGATCTTCGTCCTTCAGCGTCAGGAATGTAAGGGCGAACGTCACAAACATCATACCTGAGCTGTGAATTCGACTCTGGCTTCATTCGAAAGCTTTTGGACAGGACATGTCGGTGTCGGGACACCCCCTCCCATGCAAACTCCCCTCTGCTACCCGAGGACTGCTCTTCGCGCTTATGCACGCGAGGTTTCGCGATCGGTTCAGCAACGGGCGAGCGGGAGCACGGGGGAGGGACAGCTCCGAAGCCCGCAGCCAGCATGCGCCGGCACAGTTCGAACATTCGTGGGGTGACCAGGAAGGGACGAGTGTGTTCAGCTGGATGAGCCAGGCCGCTCCCTACTCCAAACGTCCGCCTCCTTACTGGCTCGCTGGTTAAGCGCGCGGTGGACGGCTCTAATCTGAACCCTTGAATGCGCCCCCTTTTTCGACCGTTTCCTTGCTGGCGTTGATGGGCGCCTCTCGGGCTGTCTCTGTTTCTCTTTCTTCCCACAGGTGCCTCACGCTCTCTCTCTCTCTCTCTCTCTCTCTCTCTCTCTCTGCAATTGCATGCCCCTCCCTCCCCAAATTGCGAAGCTGAGGCTCCCATGAAGGTGAACATCGGCGTGATCGGCGCGAAAGACTGTATAACGGCGATGATCAATGGTCCAACCAACGGGTTCGCTCTCAGCTCTGAGATGATCGCGAGGCATCTGTCACCAAAGACACAGCGAAAGCTTCACAGTTTAACATGCAGTGACTTTCTTCAACATTTTCGAAAGACGGACAGAGTGCACAGGACGCTCTGCTCTGCAACTGTCTGTGACCGTCTCGCGGCGGATTCGGCTGCGGGCAGAAATGCAGGCAGCATACAAAAAACAACAGCCACGTTTGGTGAGGACACTTGTTGTGGTTGGAGGCTCCAGATCACGAATGCATGAGTCAAAAGCCTTCAGAGCATTCAGCGATGGATCGACGGATCTACATGCAAGCTTCCCAGTGCGGTGGGCTGGGGGCCTTCTGTCCCCTCTTAAAGGATCCAGCGGACAACTACTCTCCGCCGCCACACAGCGAAATGCCCTGGCCTCAAAAGCAAATTTAGCGCCAGAAGCACTTTTGCTCTTGGAGTGCCCACGATGTCGCCGAGAAGAAATAAACCAAGAAGCGCGAACCTGAGAGGTTAGGAATGGTAAAAAGCATCACGATACTACCAAGACTGCATCGGCATCTTGTTTCCGCTTCCCAAAGCGAGCTGGAGTGAGTCGCACGACACCTGCCACAAGCTAGGCATCTGCCGAGCGGACCTGGAGGTTCACTCATCAAGCTCTGGCTGTCTGTAATTCTCACCGGAAGAGGGGCGCTTGTTGCGGGTCTCCGGCATCTTCAATATCTCTTCGAACTGGAGGTGTCGCCAACGGTATCTTCTCCGGAAGGTGTTATTCGACCACTGCACGAACACCAAACTGCTGGCCGACACGGCGCCGGGAATCCAGTTGCCAGAACGCTCAGCAAGCACTCCAGTCATCAACAGAACAAAGATGAACAGGCCCTGAAGGACATGTCGCAGGCTCGTTACAAAGAAAACTCCTCCCGAATCTGACTTGACAGACTCCACCTCCCTGAATAGAAAACCTTGCGTTGCAAGACATATGGCGAACATCATAAGGCCAAGAAATGAAATCAAAGGAGACAATGTGCAAAATGTGAGAACCGTGACAAGATGTAGGGATGCACGGGCAGAGCGCGAGCCGATCCCGAAGTATGTCTGGTCTTCGGGTTCACTTCTTGCTTTGGCATCGGCTGGGCCATGGAAAGTGCGGAATGCCATGTACTTCATAAGCTGTGACAGTCTCAGTGCTGCCGTCGCATAGGCAGCCATCTGCATCGGAATGAAGTTAAGGTAAAAGTGTGTGCTTTGCGGCATGTTCCTGGCCAACAAGCTGGGCGCATCGAAAGGATGTTGGAGTAGATATTGACCGGTTGCCATAATGGAGGAGCCAATCGCCGTGACAAGCAGCACGAAGACACACAAGAAGTAGAAGTACCACACCTGTGCGGACGGTTCCATGCAAGCTCAGGCGATAGGTCGCTAATTCCGACTCATTTCTGCGCCGACCCTTCCTGTAGGAAAGCTTGGGGGCCCTACGTCCAAGTCTGACCGTAAGCGCAGCTAGCGAGGCCGCCGCGAGTTGAGGCTCATGCTTGTTGGGCTCGTTGGGACTGCAAGCAGATTTGGTTGGGTGACTGTTCGATTCCGCTTGCAACCGGCTTGCAGCTTGCTACTTTGTACATTGGCCGACTGCGTGGGAAAAGATGCTGCCGTTGCCGTTGGCCTTGCGAAACTATACTGTCAGTAGGAAGCGCTGGACACCCCGAAAGTGCCCACCTTGTTTAGCCACACGCGATCACTCCCACCGACGCCAGTCCGGCAGGCTTGCAACCCCCAATCTTGGCGTGCGACTTCTAAACGGCGTGCCCTTTTGACATCACCCGTCAATCCAAACGCACGCGGCATGATTCTCAAGGCTGTCCTAAGGTCGCCTGCTGTGGGCGATCGCAACTGGTCTCGCACCTTGATAGACGAGTTAACACCCACTCCTTGGGTGCCGTCATGAACCACTCTGTAGGTGCCATCACGTTTCTCGATGGCTCCCAGTGAAGCCAAGGCCAGCCTGTCCCCATACTCTGCCAGGGCCTCCTCCAGCGAAACTTCTACCATTGCGCCTAGAGCCGCCTCCTCGAGAAATTGTTTCTGGACTTCCGCAGCATTTTCACGAGCAGACAAATAGTTGTCTCGCTCGGACTGCGCATGCTCTGCATCGTCATCATACTTGCGCCAGCGGGTCTTTTCTTCAAACACAGCTGGCACACGAGGAAGCTCTGCTCCGACACCGATGCGGACACCTTTTGCAAAGGAGTTTTCGGCCGTGTCATAGGCTGCGTAGTCCGGATCACCAGACATGCGCAAAAGCTCTTCTATGGCAGCCAAATAGAACGGCTGTCCTTCTGACACTTCTCGCACAGGCAGAGTTGACCCCGCAGACTCAAGACTGCTGAAAACAAGCTCACGCCCAGCCTCGATGACTTCAGCAGAAAATGGACACGCAACTACTTTGCCCGCAGCCAGCTTGATGGCAATTGTGCGCACATCCAGAACACCATGCAGCAACTTCAGAAGGTCTGCGCCTACCTTGTCCGCGAAAGCTAGCGACGGGGTGTCCGCAGAGCTCAGGCGGCCATATGCCAGGAGAACAGAGCCCAAAGCCATCAGTGAAGAGTCTGCGCTTGCCAAGAAAGTTTGACCACATTGCTGCTCCGTGTCCACGCAGTCCGTGTTCTAAGATAGCTGGATCTTTGTGATGGTGGTGACAGCAGTTCTTGCGGCAGCAGTAGTAGTGAAGACTGAGCGTGCCTTTCGCAACGACTTGCTGATTGCCAGGTACGTAGGTTTCACACTTGTTCTCGCTACAGCGGCCTCTCTGACTGCTGTGGCAGTGAGGAGTGGTCTTTCTCAGTTGAGCAAATGTGTGCGGCGTGTCACTGCCGTAGATTTTCTTTTTCGGCGTGTCCTTTGCTGCGCTAGTGCTTTTCGGGCAGCGTACTGTCACCAGGCTCAGTGACGTTTGCGCTGTATGGTCATTTCCCTTCGGCTCAATCACTTGCATTTTGCCGGCGTGTAGCTAGCAGCTTCCTTGTCTTGTGTTTGCAGGCGTGGTATATAGGGTGCGGCTGTTCTGCTGCAGTAAGTACTCTGTCGACTGGTTTCCAGTTGACTGTGTGTTTGGGGCCCGGACGGGCCCGTTTACTGATATGCCGGCCGGGTTGTGCGGACAATTTTCCTTGCTCCCACTTCCCTTCTTCTGAGTTTACGCCCTGCAGGTACAATCTGTTCGTGGTCATTCATAGCAGACTCTGCAGGCTGATCAGAACAACTAGTAG